ACAACAAAAACAACAAACAACAGAAACAACAAAACAACGAGAAAAAGAGAGAGAGAGAGCGAGAGAACACAACACAACAAAAAAGAAAGAACGAGAGCGAGAAAGAACATGTGTTCCGTGGCATCCGGAGCTGCCCCACTTTCCATTGGGATTCCATTTAAATCCTTTATTGCAACATGTTTTTGTTTTGAATCCCGAGGCGCTCCATGGGGATTACGATTACATACCTACATGAGAGAAGTTGCTCTCTGTGGGACCCGGGGGCGCTCCACTTTCCATCGGGAGTCCTTCTTGAAATTCTCTATACATAATTTGTTGTCAGTGGAATCCAGAGGCGGCTGACTTTCCATAGGGAGCCCTGTAATATTCTACATGCAGAATCCGCTTTCCGTGGGAACTAGAAGCGCCCCACTTTCCATAGGGATTCTTTCCAAATTCGATATGTTTTTTTGGGAGGGGTGGGGAGGGGGGGGGTGAGAGGCGTTCCGCTGTCTATCGGGGTTCTTATTCCTATTCCAGTTCGAACTGGAAAATTGGTTTGCCGTAGAATACAAAAGCTCCACTTGCACGGGATGCTTCCGCAATCTGTTTTGTATCCCGCAATCACCGCTGAAGACAGCGTTGAATGTACACCGGTGATTGCCAAGCAGCTCTCCAGTATTCAATGGGAGTATACGGTGTGGGATTTCACGTGCTTCGGACCGAACGTTGTCGGCAGCGATACCCACTGTGGACAATTTGGATGTATGCGCGGTAGTCGCCGTGTTCCCACTTCCCACTTCACATCTTGATGATCTAGACGGGGACAGGGCATGAAATAACACATGGGAAGTCAATGATGCAGTAATCCAACTGTGAACAAGGTTGCCGGAATACCGCCAACAAGAGTAGACGAGCTCCAAGGGCACCTCGTCAAGCTGCTTGAGCAGCTTAGCCACGACAGGAGACGATGTGCCACCTTGCAAGAACAGCCAATCCAGTACTTTGAGCGGAAAGCGGCGAAACACGTGTAGCGCATGTGCAAAGAGCCCAGGCCAGTTGAGCCGTGCCGTCGCGCGACTGTGTGCTGCGGATTCGCGCCGCGCTCATGACGGCGGCCACGGCGCGGGCGGTCAAGGGGCGAACGCCGCCTGCAGCCCAGAGTCAGTCGACATCGAGAGGTCCGCGCTGCCGGAACGCCGCGATCGCTCAAGGTGAACTGTCCACGTGGTGTCAGAAGCTAGCGCTGGCGTCATCGAGGCGCGGCCCCGCAACAAGGGTGCAGCCAGCACCGCGGCCCCATCTCCCATGCTCGCCGTTCCATCGGCTCCGCGCAAGAGTGGCTCTTCGCCACTCGCCGTAGTGACCTCTGGCGCGGGCCCGCCAGGGTCCGCTGATCGCCGGGCGCGGTGCGACGGCAGCTGCCTGCGCGCTTGGGCTTCCCTCCCCCCCCCCGCGCCCCCTGAGATACGCCGTGCACCAGGTGTCCACTCTTGCCCAGAGTCGTTCTTGTGAGCCGCCGCGAGCCCAGCGGCAGCGCAGAGCTGGCTGCTTCGGGGGAGCTGTTTCTGGGCCTTATAGCCTGGCTGCGCGCGGCGGCAGCTGTCCCTGCGGCGCCTCGGTCATGCCCCTCCCCCAGCAGTTTAGACCTGGTGTGTGTCCCGCCGTGAGGCGGAGGAGGTAATATGGTGATGATGATGATGCTGATGATGATGCTGATGATGGTGATGGTGATGGTGATGGTGATGATGATGATGCTGATGATGATGCTGATGGTGATGGTGATGGTGATGGTGATGGTGATGGTGATGGTGATGGTGATGGTGATGATGATGATGATGATGATGATGATGATGATGATTATGATGATGATGATGATGATGATGATGATGATGATGATGATGATGATGATGATGATGATGATGATGGTGATGATGATGATGATGATGATGATGATGATGATGATGATGATCATGATGATGATGATGATCATGGAGATGATGATGGTGAGGACGAGGAGGAGAAGGAGGAGGAGGAGGAGGAGAAGAGGAGGAGGAGGAGGAGGAGGAATAAGAAGCCAGCTCGTACGATGAAGAGGAGGGCAACACGCAGGAGGGGAGGGGGTCTGGTTCTACGAGTTCATCGCCGACGAGGAGACAGCCATGCTCGGGAAGTGGCTGCGGAGATTCGCCTTCTCTGGGGGGGGATTCTGCCTGGCCTTGGTTTACTTGCTCGAGATGTGGCGGTGGACCGGTGAGGAGGAGGACGAGGAGGAGCGCGAACGAGAAGGAGGAGGAGGAGGAGGAGGAGGAGGAAAAGGATGAGGATGAGGAGAAACAAGGATGAGCCCGAGCGGCATCATGACTATGCGGCTAGGAAGGATAAGGAGGACGAGAACGAGGAGGGCGAGGTGAAGAAAGAAGAGGAGGAGGAGGAGGAGGAGGAGGAGGAGGAGGATGGGGAGGAGGAGGAGGAGGAAGAGGAGGTCAAGGAGGATGAGGAAGACGAAATGGACGAGTTTGAAGGGGGATGGGGGCCGCCTCCTTCAAATTTCTCCTCTCCTCCTGCGAGGTGGAACAAGAGTTGCTTGCGAGTCGTCTTCAAAGCCTTTATTGTGTTGGCGACGATAGTCTTTGCGCTGGGCATCTTGTTTGCAACGCCAAAGTTTCCCGAGATACCAGTCTTCTACGGGCTTTTCGCAATTATGTTTGCCACAAGGTGTTGGCTGGTCTTTGTCATCGCGCCTATGGGCGTAAAGAGGCAGTCCTTTCACGACGGCTGTGCCCTGGCGTATATTGTAATATCTGTTGTGCTATTTGGCGTGTGGCTGGCGTGGCTTACGTGGCCTTACACTTACAACAACTCCGCCTTCAGCGAGCAGTCGTCTGCGACGTTCATGGAAGATGGGTCGCAGACCGGCATGAAAGCCTCTTGGATCCTCTGGTGCTCTCCGGCAGCTCTGGCATTGGCTCACTTCATCATGGGCAGTTTCGTGTTCATGCGCGGCCGGTTCGGCCTCCACCACCAGGACCCAGGCAGCGTCGACTTGGGCATCGAGGTAAAGATCAGTGTCATGGTGCTCGCCTTCCTTGGTTTCGCCGGGTACATTGCCGCCATCCTCGGCGCCCACGACGCGACGGTCGGCAAGCTGGTCCTGACCTACACGGGGATCACTTTTCTGCTGGTGTTCTCGTACTTGGCCAGGTGGGTCGGCCTGAAAAGCCTCGAGCGGATGGCCGAGGAGAACTCCGCTTTGCAGACCGCGGCGGGCATCGTCGCGAATGATTGGGTCAAGGCGCTTGTCGTACTCCTGGGGCCCCCCGTCCTGGTTGTGTTCGTAGTGGTGGAGTGGATCCACCAGTGCTGCAGGCGACGTTTGCAGCGCTGCGGGGTCCTGGACTCTAAGGGGGGCGAGGTGGTAGAACCCATCGTGGGCGCAAGGCGGTATGCGTGCCTCACATGGGAGGCCAACGTCGTTTTGCACGAGGGTGGCGAGTTTCTCTTTGGCGACACTACGTCGGTTCTAACGAAGGCGATCTACTGGGCCATCGGGATCGTCTTCATGATGGCGTTCGGGTCCACGTGCATCTGGATGTTCCTACAGTGGGTTAATTCGAAATTGGCGGGTATCCCTCGGGAGCTCTGCTTGCTAATCATGTACGTGGTGGTGCTGCTGCTGTTCCTTTTCCCGCCCATCAGCGGGCAGATCATTTATGGTTTCGCGGCCACCGTCGTCCAGCCCCTGTACGGGTACGGCAACGAATTCTGGACGGGGATCGTGGTGTCCTCCACGCTGTGCCTGCTCGGCAAGCTGGTCGCCACGGCCATCCAGATGAAGTGCATCGGGGGCCCAGGGGCGAATTCGGTGTACGTCAAGCGGTCCATCGGCGTGCACACGAGCTTCATGAAGGCGCTGAGGTACGTGCTGACGAGGCCAGGGTGCAGCCCGGGCAAGATCCTGATCCTGACCTTCGGGCAAGACTTCGCCACCTCGGTGCTGACCGGCATCCTGGACCTGGCCCTGGTGCCCATGCTGATCGGCACGCTGCCCGTCATCGTCGTCATCGTCCCCTGCTGCGTCGCCTTCGCGTACACGCTCCGAGCGGGGGAGGCACCACGGAGCGCAGCAAGCCCTGCCCGCACCGGTGCCGTCCTCTCGCCCTCTGCCCGCCCCGTGGCCTCCAGGGGGCCCTCGTCGTCGGCACGCCCGGGCTCGCCTCGGCATATCCTGGCCAGGCCGAGGAGGAGGAGGAGGAGGAGGAGGAGGAGGATCGAGGAGGATCGAGGAGGATCGAGGAGGATCGAGGAGGATCGAGGAGGATCGAGGAGGATCGAGGAGGATCGAGGAGGAGGAGGAGGATCGAGGAGGAGGATCGAGGAGGAGGAGGAGGAGAAGGAGGATGAAGAGAGGAGGAGGAGGAGGAGGAGGAGGAGGAGGAGGCGGAGGAGGAGGAGGAGGAGGAAGAGGATCGAGGAGGAGGACGCCGAGGCGGCGCCGGGGAGATGGATGTGGAGGAGGAGGAAGAGGCCCGCCCCCAAAACTCTGGCGCCGTGACCTTTGCACGACGTGACTGGCCTCCCCGGCCTTAGGGGGTTCTAGACCCAGACCCCCGACGCCGTGTTTTTGTTCACAGCGTCGACCCCCAGAGGTCTGGATCCCTTCCCCGTGACCAGTTTTTCGTCTCGAGTCGGTTTTTGACCGTCCTGGGGCCCGTGGAGGGCCCCAGGAGGTCTGGACCCCTTCCCGGGGACTGGCTCTGAGCCTGTTTTCTTTATGGGCTCCAGCGAGTTGACTTGCATGGGCGGGAGGGGGGGGCCTGAACGGGAGGGGTGGGGCCTGAGTCTGTGCCAAGCCGCAAGCCACTTGCACCCCTGCCTCAGGACTGGCTCTTCTCTAGGCCTCCCAGATGGGGTCGGAGTAGATGGGGTCGGAGGATGCTCGATACGGAGCCCGAGTTTTTCCACGCCGACGTCGCGGATGTATCGCCGACGTCGCCAGTGCATGGCCCATGCATCGCCGATGAATCGGCGATGCATCGCCGATGTATCGTCGATGCGGCGAGATCCTCCGACCCCATCGACTCAGACCCCATCTAGGAGGCCTCTGTCGTCGTCCTGGGTCATTTTTTGACGGTCCCGCGGCCTGGAGTGGCGCCAGAGGCCGAAAGCTGCGGAGAACTTCCTGTCGCGCCGTGTTGTATACGCAGCGCGAGGAAGAGGCGCTCGGGCCATAGCTCGGGCCCAGACCCCCTCGCGTTATGAAAAAATCACGACGGGAGGTTTTCGTTATTTTCAGCCTCCGTGGGCCCTTCCCGGGCCTCGGGGCCGTCAAAAAACGACTCAGGATGAGAAACCAGTCCTGGGGAAAGGGTCCAGACCTCTGGGGGTCGTCGACGTTGTACAAAAAACGCGGCGTCGGGGGTCTGGGGTTCCGGACGATGCGGGCACCCCCGGAACGCCCTCGACGAAGCGTATCTGCTGCAAAGCACCCTGCGGCAAGGGAATCTCTGGAAATGTCCGAAAGCCTCGCGTCGCGATGTTGCTCACAGCGCGGGGGGGAGGGCGCAGGGGAAGCAGCGGCAACGGCATCGGACCCAGAGGTCCCGACCCCTCGCCTGGGGCCAGTTCTTCACTCTTGATCCGTTCTTGGTGACCCCGGGGCTCGATGATTGCCCCCAGGGGCCGACCTCGAGGCAGAGCCGCCTGTTATAAAAGGCAGGTCGCCGTCGGAGACCTGGCGCATCCCAGACCCCCGACGTCGTAATTTTTTTCACAACGTCGACCCCCAGAGGTCTGGACCCCTTCCCCGGGACCGTTTTTTCATCCTGAGCCGTTTCTTGACGGTCCCGAGGCCTGGGAAAGGCCCCCAGAGGCCGAAAATTGCGAAAAAACTCCGTCGTGATTTTTTCACAGCGCGAGGAGGTCTGGGATCGGCACCGCGCTTGTGCCCCCCTCGGCCGGGCGGAGGACGTGACGTTCGAGGCCCAGCACCGGGCGATCGCGGGCCTCAACCTCGTGCTCTCCGGGATCGTGGCCGCCGCGGGGAACGCGGGCATCGTCTATTACGTCCAGGATCGGAGGGCACCGGCGATATACACCTGCACCCATCCCAGACCCGCGACGTCGCGATTTTTTCACAACGTCGACCCCCAGAGGTCTGGAGCTCTTCCCCAGGACTGGTTTCTCATCCTGAGTCGTTTTTTGACGGCCCCGAGGCCCGGGAAGGGCCCCCGGAGGCCGAAAATAGCGAAAAACCTCCCGTCGCAATTCTTTCACAGCGCGAGGAGGTCTGGGATCACGGCCGGGCCGATCAGGGGCCCAGGGCAGGTGCGCGCGTCTTCCTGCGGGGGGGCAGGAGGGCGTGCACGCCGATGCGGGTGGGAGCTTGCTGGGGGGCCAGCCGCTGGGCGCCGGAGAGGGGGGGGCAACCACCATGCACGGGTCTCGTTCCCTGCCCGCCTTGCCCCGACGCCGCAGTTGCCCCCCCCCTTCCCCTCCTGCCTGGCTCTGCTGGTGCCCACTGGCGAGCGGACAGCCCACGCCCATACCCCTATGGGGGGTCGGAGGGAGGAGGCCCGGCTACGGGTATGGGTGCGGGTTGTCAGACCCTTGGGGAGGCTCCCGTTCGGGCGGGGACCCCCATCCGACAACACGCACCCGTAGCCCCCGCCGTTCCCTCCATGTGCGTTGTTCGTTCGTCACTACTCCTTCAGCGCAGGCCCCCCAGTCGCCTCCTTAGTCAGGAAGGAGGCGCCTTACATCCATTTGGGCCACGCGAGCTCGACCAGCTCTGCGCCCGCGCGCCTGACCGAGGCACCGCAGCCAGCGCAGGGCGCACGCGGTCACGTGCAGGCTGCAGTGGGCAGAGGCAGGGAGAGAGACCCTGACCTTCCAGGGGAGCTAAAAGATGTCACCACGACGTCGACGTCCGACTTTCCGTCGAGGTTTTGGGCAGTCCAGGCAGGTTTCTTAGGCCTGGATGGGCTACTTCCTAGCACCCTGGAAGGTCCGGGGAGCGCGGAGTGCCGCCCGAGGCCAGCTGGCCCATCTCCCTGGCATCGCTCGGGCGTGTGCATTTCTCCTCCGCGAGGACCATCGAGGAGCATCGTGGACCATCTGGCACAGGAGGAGGAGGAGGAGGAGGAGGAGGAGGAGGAGGAGGAGGAGGAGGAGGAGGAGGAGGAGGAGGAGTAGGAGGAGGAGGAGGAGGAGGAGGAGGAGGAGGAGGAGGAGGAGGAGGAGGAGGAGCGCGAGGAGGAGAAGCGCGAGGAGGAGAAGGAAGAGGAGAAGGAGGAGGAGAAGGAGGAGGAGAAGGAGGAGGAGGAGGAGGACCACGAGCTCGCAACATATGCACGGGGAAGGGACGCTTGAGCGATGGGCGGGGCTCGGTAGCCACGTCCAGGAGGCCCTCCACGCGCATCACGACGAGCTGAACCGGGAGGGCTCGGACTGGATGGCGGACCCGCTGGAGCCCCAGGTGCTGGCGTCCGTCGAGGAGGCCAAGAGGGAGGAGCAGAAGTG